AGAAATGCCAGATATAGGTGATGGGGAGGAAGGCAGCAAATCACACTGCCATGTGTATACCTATGCAACAATCTTGCATGTTCTTCACATGTACCCCAAAACCTAAAATGCAATTAAAAAAAAAGAAAAAGAAAATACTTCCTAACCTAGAATTCAATAGCAGCAAAAATATCCTTCAAGAATAAAGAAGAAATTTTTTTATTTTTTATATTTTAATTAAAAATACTGGGTGCATGCCTGCCTCTTTCTCCCAATCCCTTGAGAAAACACCCACTTGGAAGGGGAGAGGACCTTGCCTTCAGGGCAGGAGGTTGGCTCTGTTGCAAAGACACTTAATAACAGAAATAACAGAATTTACCAGCAGCAGGACTGCACTAAAGGAAATATTAAAAGGGTATTTTTCAACTCAAAAGGAATGATCACCCAGATGGAAGCCTAAAGATGTGCATTAACAATAGAAATGAAGCAATAAATTCTAATATATTCTTATAATGGTATATTCAAAACATATATACATATACAAGGGTTTTCTGGGAATATTGTTCTTAAAGAACCAGAAGCTTCATATCCAAATGTCTATTCATATTCAAACATGGAGTATTCTATAGCAATACAAATTAATGAAACAGGCATGCACTCCTATCCAAAATAGACTAATAAAGACTAAATTTACCCTCCTGTCTAAAATAATAAACAAAAAAGGGGCGAAACCTATGAAATGGAAGTTTTCAAGGCCTTGCATATTAGGTAATGGCTATAACTCCTAAGAAGTAGGAAACAGATGGGGTGAGTCCCACAGTGCTCCGCTTATTGCCTGGAGAGAGTTTCCAAGCCACAGGCTAGGAAGGGGAGCCCACGGGAAGCCCAGAAGTGTCCCTGAGTTGAGGAGATGGACAGGCAGTGGCTTCTAGGAGCTCTACACTTTAGAGTTTGAATTCAGGCTCCACCACTTCCTAGCTGGGTGGCCCTAGGCTCTCCGAGCTTCCTTTTCCACATATGTATAAGGAGATTGCCAGTAATACATGAAATAAACACAGGAAAGAACCCAAAATAGGCTTAGCTGATGGCCTGGCTCAGCCCAGGCTGAGGCCCCCTCCCTCCCTCCTGCCCCACACTTGAGGCTTCACCATCATGACCTTGACTCAGGACACCTGTGATGATGCCTATGTGGGCTGTGGGAACCCTGGAAGCACTCATGCTGGGAAACTCACCAGACCTGTTCCGCTTTCTACCCTTCCCCTCCCCACCACACAACACTCCATCCCATCCACCCCGCCCCACCCCAGCTTACAAGCCCAGCCCTGGCCAACATCAACTTGTCCAATGCCCTGAACTTAGAGCTGAGCCAGGCCTTTTGGACAGGCAGAGGCTCCTGGGAGCTCTACATAAGGCACTTACCTTCCAGGCCCTGCATTTCTACCTGAACTGGGCCCTGCAACTGCTGCTGTGGGGACCCTGGGAGGTGGTATTCCCAGGTGTGGACAGCCTCCACTTGAAGCTTGGGAGGATAGAGGCCTCCGTTCAACAGGACCCATTCGCCTCCAGCTGCCTCCAGGGGGTAGTCCTCAGTTTTGGGAATGCTGCATTTTTCTCCCTACAGAACTGCTTCAGGGTCTCCAACTACACCCCGTCAGGCTTCCTAAGAGGTGCTACTTCCCCCCGACCCCCGTTAAGGTTTTGTGGCTGCCAGCCTCTCCTGTGATGGGGCAGGCATGCAGCCTAGTAACTCTTCAGAGCACCAAGCAGACCTGCAACCACCTCAACTATGCCTGCCTGTCAGGTGAGCTCTCCCCAAGGTCTGGGCAAACAGCCAGGCTCCCTCATTCATGCACCATTCACTCACCCATCTATTCACTCATCAAGGCATTGACTCACCAAAGCCAGTCACTCTTTACCATCTTTATTCATTCACTCAGTTATTCTGGCACTCACTCATTTATTCAGTGACCCATCCATTCATTCACCCGTTCACTTACTAATTCAATCATTAGCTCATTTCTCCTTCAACTGTTATTCATCTGCCCATTCATCCATGTGCGTATTCCTTCCGTCACTAAGCAAGCATTTAGCAAGGCTTTCTACTAGCCAGGAATCAGAATCAGGCTTTCAGAGACAGGTGCGTTCTCAAACAAGAACAATTAAGGAACTCAGAGGAGGCTGACTGGGGGCAGGTGCGCTTCTCGTGCCTAGGATATTTGTTCCCCAGACCTCAGGTGCAGAGGGCTGAGCTAATCCTACTCCTGAGTTCACAGCGTGGAACCATCATTGGTCCATCTAGGGTCCTGCTCATGGTTTACTTACAGATTCCTTTTCATCCTCCTTCTCCCCTGCTATTCTTCCCTTCTCCTCAAAAGAAATTAGGTACTTAATGTGTAGGCTTTTGCTGATGAGAGTTCTTATAAAATGAATGCTGTAATTCTGAATGCCTATGTTTTAGTTCATGTAAATTGTAGTATATGATAGATCTCATTCTCCTTCTCCCTTTCTTCACTCAGCTGTATGTTTTTAGGATTCATGCTGCTATAGGTGTGTCTATACATTGTTTCCACCTGCTAAGTAATGCCCTGTGGTGTGCATACACCCCTTTTTGTCCATCAACGTGCTGTACATTCCACCGGTATACTCATTCCTGTTCCCTTTGAGCCTGTGGGAGGATTTCCCTGGGGTATATACCTAGGAGCGGCACTGCTAATCTAGGGAATCTAGACACTTTGAGTACTGCCATGTGGCTGCCCAGAAGTGCTGCATCAGTCTACATTCCCATGGACACTGTGTGAAAGTGTCCATTTCCCGCATACCTGTCAAGAATTGACATCATGAGCCGGGCACAGTGGCTCATGTCGGTAATCCCAGCACTTTGGGAGGCCAAGGGGGGCGGATCACAAGTTCAGGAGATCAGGACCATCCTGGCCAACATGGTGAAACCCTGTCTCTACTAAAATACAAAAAATTGGCTAAGTGTGGTGGCATGCACCTGTTGTCTGACTACTCGGGAGGTGGAGGCAGGGGAATTGCTTGAACCCGGGAGGCAGAGGTTGGAGTGAGCCGAGATCAGGCCACTGTACCCTAGCCTGGTGACAAAACGAGAACCTGTCTCAAAAAAAAAAAAAAAAAGAATTGACGTCATTTGGCTCTTTGAGTTCTGCCAATCTAACAGGTGTAAAATATCTTCTTGTTTTCATTTCTGCTTCTCTGATAATCAATGAATTTGAGCATCTCTTCCATAAATAGCTTATTCAGGGCTTTCCCTATTGGGGTTGCTATCCTCTTCTTGCTGGCTTGTGGGGATTTCTCATCTATTCCAGATATTAGCCTCTTGTCAATTTTAAACATTGAATAACATCCCCCCTTCCAGCAGCTCTCTATTAACCTTATCCTTGACATATGTCACTGAACAGAAATCCACAATTTCAATGTAATTGAATACACAAATTGTTTTTCTTATGGCTTGTCCTCCATGCCCACAAAGATACTTTGTTTTCATCTGTCGACCTGACACTCTCACCTTTCATGCTTAGTCTATAATCTGCCTGGCATCCACCTGTGTGTGTGATGGTAAGCAGGGATCCAGTCTTCATTTCTGCATGATATGAGTGAGTGTTCCCAACAATCCAGCCTTTCCCCTAGAGGCAGGGGTCCCATCTTTATTGGGTAGTATTGTGAAGTTCCTAGTTGTATGTATGCTCCTCTCTGAGCTCTTTACTCTGTCCCATTAACACTTTCATCTGTCTGGCACCAATATCACTTTTTTTTCCCTAGTCTTGTGTTACAATATCACTTTTGGCTGAGTGCAGTGGCTCACACCTGTAATCCCAACACTTCAGGAGGCTGAGGTGGGAGGACCACTTGCGCTCAGGAGTTTGAGATCAGCCTGAGCAACATAGTGAGACCTTGTGTCTATTTTTTTAAATTATAATATCACTTAAAAATCATATTCTTCTTTACTTTCACTTTTTAAATTTATCTTGCTATTCACAGATTTTTATTTTTCCACATATACTTAATAGGAGTTTATTGTGTTGCTCAAGAAACTAGCAGGAATTTGTATAGGGATTGTATTGGATATCTAAATTACTTTTAGGAGAATTACCTTGTAATAATATCAAGTCATTTCATCCAGAACATGGACTCCTTCTCCATTATTCAAATAACCTTTCTTATCAGACATCTAGATTTTGTCCCAGAGATAGCACTTATATTCTTAGCTAGATTAATTTTTAAGATGCTTTATCATTTTTATGGCTTTTGTGAGTGGCATATTATTTTTGAGTTATGTTTTCCAATTGGTTCTGGTTGTTGTAGAGAAATGGCATTAATTTTCATCTTATTTCCAGAAATATTGATAAACTCTCTTATTAGTTCTAATGGTTTGTCTATTGATTCTATTTTCTAGATAAACAATTGTATCATCTGTGAAAAATGACACTCTAATCGCTTCTCTTCCAAATTGATATCTATTTCTTTTCCTTTCATTAAAGCGTTGGCTGGGACCTCTAGTACTAGGTGCAACAGGATTGGTGATAATGGGCATCCCTGTCTTATTTCTGTTCACAGAGGGAATATATCAAAATTCCTCCACTGACTAAAATCTTAACTGGAGAGTTTTGGAATATTACCTCTTCCAAGTTAGCGTCTCATATAATCCCAGTTCATCAAATTATTTTAAATCACAAATAGGTATCTATTTTAGCAAATACTCTTTTCTACATCAATTGAAATAATCCTATAATTTTTTTCATAAGTATATTGTGAATGATATGGATAGGTTTTCTGAGGTGAAACCATCTTTGCATCCCTTGGAAAAAAATTTCCATCTGATTATGATGCATTTTAAAATATTCACTTGTATCTGGTTAGCTAGCATTTTACATGTAGGATTTTAGCATCTAAACTCCTAGATGAAACTGAACTAATCTTGCATTATCTTCTTTTGCATTATCTGGTTTGAAAATCAAGAACAGGTTAACATCATAAAATGAGCTGGGGAGCTTTGCTTTGTTATCTGGAATAATGTATATGAATCAGATACTATCCATTCTTTTAAAGTTTAGTGAAGTTATCTGTAAAGCTATCTGGAAAGGAGTTTTTTTGAGAGGAGGTTTTTAACTGCCATTTCATTCCTTTAATACACATTGATCTATTCAAATTCTATGTCCTGTGAATTTTGTATCTTTTTAGAAATGTCTTCATTTCATCCAAGTTTTTAAATTGTAATTTTCAATGATATGCTTGTATTGTTTTTAATCCCTCTTGGGTGAAATGTAAATATTGTCTATCATTTGTTCTACACTTAGTATGTCTACTCTTTTAACCCAAGAGTATACTTAGCATGTCTTTCTTTTTTCATGATCAGACTTATCAGAGGTCAATCTTACTAATCTTTTTAAAGAACCAGCTTTTGGTTTGGGGAATCTCTAATAGCTGTTGGTGTTCTCTGGGTTCTTTATTTCTGCCCCATTTTTATTTTCCTCTTTTTGCTCTTTTGCTGTCTTTTGTCCAGCCTCTTAAGTTAAATGCTTAGTTGATTTTTAGCGTTCTGTTTCCCAGCAAATGAATTTAAAGATATAAATTTCACCAAGTACTGTTTTGGCTATTCCATAAATGTTGATACTATATGTAGTGAAGATTTGTTTTTACAATCTAGTTCTAAGTATTTCATCATTTCCTTTATAATTTTCTTTTTAACCCAAGAGTAATTTAATAACATACTACTTCACTTCCAGATATATGGAAATTTTAACCACTCTTTTGTTATTAATGTCTATTAATATCTATGTTTACTATATTATGATCAGAAAACATTATGTCATGTTGATCCTTTGAAGTCTTTAGGCTTCTGTGGGGTCTCATAGATCAGTGGTCCCCACCATTTTGGTACCAGGGACTGGTTTTGTGGAAGACAATTTTTCCATGGGGCAGGAGTGGGGGATGGTTTTGGGATGATTCAAGCACATTACATTCATGTGCACTTTATTTCTATTTTTATTACATTGTAGTATATAATGAATAATTCTAAAATTTGCCATAATGTAGAATCAGTGGGAGCCCTGAGCTTCTTGTGGCACCCCACAGCCACAGGGACCGGGACTAGTCCATGGCCTGGGAGTTGCAAATCCCTGTAATAGATTATCAGTTTTTCAAATACTCTGTATGTGCAGAAAATCGTATATTCTTTGTTGCATGTAGGGGATATGTATATACAGTCTTTGGCTGTCTCATCATTATGCATTCCAGCCAGTAGTGAATACTGTTAGGAACTCTGACGATAACCTGGTTCATTCTCCTTTTTGGGTGACCTGTATTTTCTCTCTGGCAGTGTTTGGAATTTTCTCTTTGCCTTGGTAGTCTTAAATTTATGAAATAATGCATCTGGTTGGAAGTTTGTCCTTATCTCCCCTGATTGACACTCTCAGATCCCTTTAAATATTAGGTCTTTCAATTTTTTAATATAGTACCTTTATGTCCACTCTTTCTACAAATATTTCCTCCAACTTGTTTATACTTTCATCTGGGATGTCTATTGCCTGGATATTGGCATTTCTACTTCTATCCTTCACATCTCAGATTTTATTTTTGCTAATACCTTCTATTTCTTGATCCTTTCCAATTGCCTTTGTCAAGAGTTTATCCAGCTGATCCTCAAACCTCACTATTTCTCTCTTCAGTTGAATCCTCCTTGCTCTTCTCATCTCTTCTCTTCTTTATTCCAACTATAATTTTTTCATATCTGATACTTCTACTTGGTTCTTTTTTGTTTGGTTTGGTTTTTGTTTTGTTTTTCTGGAGACAGAATCTTGTTCTGCTGCCCAGGCTGGAGTTCAGTGGCACACTCATGGCTCACTGCAGCGTCAACCTCCTGGGCTCAAGTGATCCTCCCGCCTCAGCCTCCCGAGGAGCTGGGACTACAAGTGTACCCTACTACACTCAGCTAATTTTGGTAATTTTTTTGGAAAGGTAGGGTCTTGTTATGTTGCCCAGGTTGGTCTCAAATGGTTCTTTTCTTAATGATTTTTTGTTCTTACTTCATGTTGCTAATATCGTCCCTTATCTCTTTAGGAAAATTTAAAGCATTTATTTTAAATTCTGGGCCCTTCTGTTACAGTCTGCCTGATTTGTGTGCATTGTTTTCTTCCTTTTGGTTATATTCTTTTGACCTGTGGGCCAATGTTTCCCTCAGAGCAGTGTGACTCAGACTAGCAATATGTGCTAGGGATGAGCTGAAGGCAGCATCCTAGTCTGTGCTGGGTCGGGACCAAGGTGAGGACCAGATGCGAGGGCCAGGCACCCCACAGCCACAGCTAGACACTCCCTTCTGCTGGAGCCTCCTCTGACTAGAATATCTAGGAGAGAAGCAGCCCTAGGCATCTCCCTGGATTGTGAGCCACCCGTCCTAGGGACTGGGGAGAGAAAGTGCTAGGGTGATATCCACGGGGACCTGGCTGGTCCCTCCTCACTGAATCAAGTCACATCAGGAGTTTGTGCACAGGTGAAAGGGCAGGCAGTGACTGACCAAGGCAGTAGGACCTTGGTCAGTAGGGGGTAAGGCAAGCATTCCTCTCCAACCCAGTTTTCATTTTTATCTCTCCCCCCCCTCAGCACACCCAGGCTGCTGTGGAAAAATTAAGTGAGAAACTGAGAATCATAGTGAGAGAAATCTGTCACAGCTGACTCCATCTTCCTTCTTACTTCACAAGCACGTCATCTGCTCATTCCTAAGCATAGGCCAAGTTAACTATGGGAGAAATTTAGCTTATCGTTTAATTTTGAAACAAAAATGATAGTAGCCTCTTCCCAAAATTAACCCCCTTTTTGCTAGGGGACCAAAACTGACTTTATAAAACTTTACAAAACTAAAAAATTGTCCATAAGTTTAGAATTATGGCTTAGAAGTTATAAAGCCAAAGATCACAAGATTTGTAACCTCCCCATTTGCTCCTATAGTTAACACCACTATTGTAAAACCTAAGACTGGTATTTGAGATATTTTTCACATCTTGCATTCTGATCAACCAGATGGTATCACCCAGACCAGTAACCTACACCAGGAAACTGACTCAACCAGTCCTGTGACCCCCACCCAAAACTGATTCAAGGCAAGAAGACAGCTTCAACCCTCTGAGATTTCTTCTTCAACCCAACCAATCAGCTTCTCCCATTTCCTAGTCCCCTGCCCACCAAACTATGCTTAACAAACCCTAGCTTCCAAATTCTCAGGGAGGCATATTTGAGAAACATCTCCTGTCCTTCCACTTGGATGGCCCTGTGATTATTAAACTCTTTCTTTGCTGCAACACCTGCTGTTCTCAGTGCTTTGGCCTTTCTGGGCAGCAGGCAAGAAGAACCCATTGGACTGTAACACTGTTGTCATTTCCTAGAATCCTATGCATCTCAATCAGTTCTGTAGGTTTCCCAGGGGTAATCTAGGAATTGAGAGTGGCAGCCATTTTGGCAGGATGTTGCCACTCCTCCCATTCTTACACCTGACCCACCAGTCCCCAAAGTTGATGTTGTGCTTTGTTTCCTGTATGGACTCATCCTGGTATTCCCTCAGAGAACAATCTGGCTGTGCCATCTACCAGACTTCATTCCCACACAGCTGCACGGATGCAGGACAGCCTCCCTCTGAGAGCATCTTCTGCATTCTGAAGGCCTCCAGTGGGCTCATCCTCCCAGTTAGTGGAGAGGAAAACTAAGACCAATGAGGTAGCCCAGTGCTCATGCTGCCAGGATAGAAAGGAAAGCCCAGAGGGATTGCAGAGAGTGCTGAAGAGCAGGGATTCATTGTGTGAATCTTACTTTGTTTCAGGACAGGAAACACAGGAGTGCAAACTTCAGTCAGGTAAGAGGCCTGCCCTGATATCCTTGATCCGCCCACACCACCCATGCTGCCTCCTCCCCTGATTTCCCATGCTCCTTCCTTCATTCCCTCCCCAACCCTGATTCGCCCTTTTCTCCCCAGGTGCAGTCCGGAGCCTGCCTTGGGGCAATGGCTGCTCTGGTGTGCCCCCTACCCTCACCACCTCCAGCAGGGTTCATCATCCCAGTTTATAGACAGAAAAACTAAGATTAGAGGGAGAGAGATTGGCTCCTGCTCAGAGCAGACCTTCAACATCTTCACCTCCCTGGACCTGGCACCCTCCCAAGGGGACTGCAACCAAGGTTATGAAAATAGCGTCTACTCACCATCCTCTCTCAGTACACCCCCAACTAACCCACCCCCTCAGTCCCACCCCTGTCTCAAAGAGACTGAGCCCTGAGAGGCACAGCTTGCTGTACCTCCTCACCCCTCAGCCTGCTTTCCTAGTCTATCTGCAATGTCCTCAAGTCCCTTCCCATCCTCCTCATCCAAACTCCAAGACCTGCCTATACCTCACGCCCCTCCAGGAAGCCCCCTTCATGACCTGGGTTCACTCCCTGCCATGACTGTCCTTCCTCACCGGCCTAGCACCAAGCCTTGCAATGCTCTCTATTAGTTATTTCCTGCACAGAAAAGGGGTGAGGGAACCATCATTTCTGCCTATGTCTGTTCACACGCAAGGCTGGCTCTGCCTTCCCAGGGACCCTTCTGCAGAGGGAGACCACTCATCAGGCAGGCACCACCTGCAGGGGTCTCACTCAGGTAAAGCTGATGGACCTCAGTCCTGTTCAGAGTACAGCTATACAGGCTGGAAGCCTCCAGGAAACAGTTCCTATTTTCCCTGTGGTGTCTGTATGGGTGTGTACTGTATAGGGTATAGGTTGTATAGAGTCTGCAGGTAAACATGCCTGTGTGTCAAAGAATGAGCATGTGAGTGTGTGTGTTCATGTGTCAGTGTAAGAATGCCTCTGTGTTTATGAGTGTGAGAGGGTCATACAGGTGGAACACTCTGTTGATGAAAAGAGTCAAACTCTGTAAAAAAAAAAAAAAAAAAAAAAAAATTTTTTTTTTTTTGAGATGGTGTCTCTGTCACCCAGGCTGGAGTATAGTGGCACAATGTCAACTCACTGCAACTGCTGCCTCCTGGGTTCAAAGAATTCTTCCTGCTTCAGCCTCCCTAGTAGCTGGGATTACAGGTGCCCACCACCATACCTGGCTAATTTTTGTATTTTTTAGTAGAGATGGGGTTTCGCCATGTTGATCAAGCTGATCTTGAACTCCTGACCTCAGGTGATCCACCCTCCTCGGCCTCCCAAAGTTCGGGTATTACAGGCTTGAGCCACTGCACCCAGCCTGTAAAATATTTTAAGAGATTTCTTCTGAGCCAAATATGAAAGACTATGGCCCATGACACAGCCCTCAGGAGGTCCTAAGAACACGTGCCCAAGGTGGTTGGGGTACAGCTTGGTTTGATATATTTTAGGGAGGTATGAGACATCAGTCAACTACATTTAAGAAATACATTGGTTTGGTTCAGAAAAACAGAACTACTCAAAGTGGGGGCTTCCAGCTATAGGTAAATTGAAACATTTTCTGGTTGACAATTGGCTAACTTGTCTAAAGACTTGGGATCTATAGAAAGGAATGTTCAGGTTAAAGATGAAGGATTATGGAGACCAAGGTTTACTGTGCAGAGGAAGCTCTCAGATAGCAGACTTCAGAGAAAGCAAGTTCAGATTTAAAAGAGTGCCTGGCTCTTACTTAGTTGATTATCTCCTGGATCTGGAAAGCAAGGAAGGAAAACAAAGGGGGAAGGAGAATCTCTATAGAATGTGAATTTTTTTCCCACAAGAGACTTTGCAGGGCAATTTCAAGATATGACAAGGAAGTAGGTTTTGGGATTAAATATTTTTTCCTTGTCTCATAATGTTATGCCAGAGTCAGATTGAAAAGTAAGTCACAACATATAGGGTCAAATAAAACCCATCTGATAAGAATGTATGTTTTGTAGGGCTTGGCTCCCTAGACCCTTAGGTAGGAATTTGGATAAGACAAAAAATCAGAGCTTAGTCCTCAATTCCTAATGCAACCTTCTGAGATCCAAAACGCTCCAAAATCTAAAACATTTTTTAGCACTGACATAATGCCACAAGTGGAAAATTCCACACTTGCTTCGATGTGCACAAACTTTGTTTCATGCACAAATTATTTAAAATATTGTATAAAACTGCTTCAGGTTGTGTGTATACAAAACATAAATGGATTTTGTCTTTAGCTTGGGGTCTCATTCCCAAGATATCTCATTATGTATATACAAATATTCCAAAATCAAAAAAAAAAAATCTTAAATCTGGCCCCAAGCATTTTGGATTAGGGATACTCAGCCTGTATGTGAATGGACAGGAGTAAGACTGGCAACTGCATTCCCCTCCCCTACCACCCCACCCTTACCCTTGTCTGACCTCTGGGGAGGTGAGGACAGTAAGGGCTGGACACCACCTGGTGGCCATGAGCTGCACTACAAACCACACACCCCTAACTCCTTTCTCCCCGCCCCCTACTCCAACTCACATACACACAGACACACACATGCTAAGAGTTGATCCCAGCTCTTAGCTCTTTCTCTGGGGCCTCAACCAACGCCCTACAATAGTTTTGTAAAGACTGAAGATGGAGACTCATCCTTCTGAGTCTCCCTCCTCTATCCCAGGGAGGGAGGGAGGATTCAGACAGGTGGGGCTCACATCCTAACCTTGGTGCATTACTTAACCTCTCTGAACCTCAGGCAACCTGACAGCAGAATAGACTAACAGTGTCTGCTGGAATCATTGCAAGATTTAAATAACATGCAAAATGAAGCCATTAAGTTGGCAGAGCAGGACTGCTTACAGGAAGCCAATGGGGTCAAGCCTTGTGTTCTGTAACCTGGTGAGGGCTGCCCTCAGGCTCTGTGCAGAGCCTTCTCCCATCTGTCCTCCCTCCCTTCCTCCCACCTCTCCTCCCTGGGGAACCCCAGACAGCTGTCTTGCTCACCTTTGCAGGGAGCTCCCCCCCGCCAGAGGCTCTACCCAATACCTGTTGTGGGTGAGGGTGATGCCGAGCAGAGCCCCCATGGCTCGCCTTGGAGTGGCATAGACCCCACTTCCCAGAGCCCCTCCAAGTCCTCCCTCTGCATCCCCCGTCTCATTGGTCACCACGTTCTGCCAACCCAGCATCTCTTAAGTTCCTCTCCTTGCCCAGCCCAGGGTGAGCATCACATATCACCCATAGAATAATCCCTGCCCACCCTCTCCCTTTGCAATCACATCCCTGCTCTCCAGGGGCATCTTTCTAAAATGCACTTCTGAGTCACTCTCCTGCTGAAAACCTTTCTCTAGTTCTCCACTGCCCACAGAATAAAGCCAAACTCCACAAGCTGGCATTTAAGGCCCTTCGTGATCTGGCCCTGCTTCCTCCTCCATCCCTCAGCTCCTCCACCTGCCAGTCCCTTCCCTTCTCGGGGCCTTTGCAAAAGCAGTTTCTTTTACCAGGCAGGAGTGCCTGTCGCCTTTTGCCTGTAGGAAAACAACATCTGCTCATTTTTCAAGCCTCACTATTGTTCTCAGGGTACTGATCCTGCCTGGAGCCCCATGGCGGGCACCCCACAGTGCTGTTGGGGCCTGCATCTGAGTTTGGATCTATCTCTCCAATCAAACTGTGAGACTCTCCAGCCCAGGACAAAGACAAAGTCAGCCTCGGCCCTCGCACAGGGCCCTGCATTCACGGGGAAATAACTGTGGCTGTTCCCTCCATTTGCTGAAAAACAGGATGTGTCACAGAATGGGCCTCAAAGGAGGGTTGGGCTGGGGGCAGACAGCAGATGTAGGGTCAAGCTCCCCCTTGCCCAAAGGCTTATGGAAGACGAACACGCGAACACATTCAGGGTTAGGGGTCAGGCAGAAGAGCAGCTACATCAGCCCACAGTGACCCTGGAGTCAGCTAGGCACCATTAGAATAGCCATCTCTTATTGGCCTTGGTCCACGAACTGACCACTCCCACCCCCACCTGCGGACTCACTGGCCAAGCCTGGGTCCTGTGCTGTGAGGGGGTAGAGACAGACTTGGGGAGCCCAAAGCAGGAGCCAAAAGGGAGAGGAGCCTGGAGCCACATGACACTAAAGGAAGCTGGAGACCTGGAGACCATTCAGCCAGAGGAGCAGATTCCAAACCCAGACAGGCTGGAGGGGTGGAGGGAGCTGCAGAGGAAGCAGAAGGGCTCTGTGGTCCCAAAGGCAAGGCTGGTAATGGCTGATGGTCACAAGATGGCCCTGTCCATCTCCTTCCTGCTCTCGCCACGAAAGGAGACCTCAGTGCCTGCCCTCTCAACACATCACCTTTACTGATCAGGAAGAAATCAACAGGGAGACAGGGGTAGGTAAGTCAGGGACAGGGCCTGGAGACTGCCAGGCAGAGCCACTTTGTGGCCCCAACCTGGAGTCTGCCATCTTGGACTGGGTGGAAGTGAACGCTCTCACGTGGAGGAAAGCAGGGACTAACTCCTCAGACACAACTCGGGGCTGGATCTGGTGTGGAGTCCGACTCAGGGGTGGCCCCTCGGCAGGACTCAGAGAAACTGGGATGTGGGACTTGCTGGGACACAGATCACCATACACAGGTATCACTGCAGCTAGGAACAGGGCTCAGAGGCCCAGGCCCTTGCCATATGGGCACTCATGACCAGGGAAGGCCAGCACTGGGAAGGTCTAGGACGAGCTTCAGGCTACCTCCTCCAGGCAGCCTATCTGCTTGCCTCTGCCTCTCAGTTTTCCATCTACTCCACAATCTCTGCCAGCCAACATGTACCATCACTGCTCCCTGGCCAGGCCTTCTCATCTGCCGCCCACCCGTTAGCTTCCACCATCTGGCACAGGGCTAGCCCAGGGAGTACCCAGCAGGTCTAAATGACTCTCCCAGAAGAGGGGCTAGGCACCAAGGGTGGGGGACTTAGGAAGCCATGGAGTTCCAAAGAGCATTTGCCTCTCCCAGTTCTACTCCCCTCTTCACCCACCCCAAGCACAAAGTCTGCAAACAGCCCCATGGGGGAGGACTGGTAGAAAGAAATAGATTTATTCTCATGTACAAAGCGGTCAGCCCACGGGACCATATACGACAGTTGCACAGAGTCCTAGAAAAACGCATCTCTCTAAAGGCAACTCAGAAAGGTAAGGCAGGTGGCCCCCCTCCCCCACCCCACAACGCACACAGAACGAAACAGAGAAAAAGAGAGAAGCCAGTGGCCGGGCTGACCCAAGAGTCCCGACCCTATGGGGTCTCCCAAGCCCCAGGGCACAGGTGGATATGGCCTTGAAAAGAGATCCCTGCCAGGGCTGAGGCCAGGTCTCTCACTGGCTGCAGGAATGGGGAAGGGGCTCAGGCCAAGGGGGGCACCTCTGAGGGACGCAGGGGGCTCTGAGGGACACAGGGGGCTCTGAGGGATGCAGGCTTGGGCTCTCTGTGCCCTAGGGTGGCAGAAACATTCCACAGCCTCTGCTGGGACTCCGCAGAGCTACAGAGCTATTTTAGACATTGATCTCAAATGGATCTTAGAGCATGGATTATCTTACCCTCCTGTTTGGCCCAGACAGGGGAAGAGACTTGCCCAGTGTCACACAGGCCGGAGGAAGCAAGGCTGGCTCATACCTGGGCCTGTTTCCCAGTACGGGGATCCCTCCTGCCCATCAGCCCCATCCTGCCTTCTTCCCGAGCCCCCTCTCCACAGAGCATTGAGCTGCTCCTCTGGCAGCTTCCTCTTGGGGCCCCTGTATCCCCCAGGTCCCAATCCCACCGTCAGTATAGTGGTGGTCCTCAGGGCACTTTCGCCGAGGCTGTTTCTAGTCCTCCCATAGAACTAAGGACTGTTTCTAAGACGCCACACTCTGCTCACTCAGATGTCTCACCTTCCCCTTCCATGAGGATCCTGAAGACCCTAAGGGGTGGGAATCCCCTAAGGGAAAGGAGCAAAGATCTGGTGGGACAGGAATGGGGCAAGGAGAAACCATCAAGCTGCTCAGACAAAGAATGGCTTGGGAAAAACTCGCCAAGGTGTGATCAGAGGTGCAGAGCAGGGCCCACTGCTCATTGGTCACCCCTGTGCTCTCAGAGGACAAATTACAAAGTCTCCGTGAGGCTGGAAGTCTTGCTTCCATTATACAGACGAGAAAGCTGAGGCCCAGGAAGGTAGTACTTGTCCAGGGTCACACAGGAAGTCCTGGTCTAGGACCCAGGACCTGTGGCTCTGTTCCCAGTGCATCTGGCCAGGCCAGTGGAGGGCTGTGGGAGGTGGCCTGGGCCGGGAAGGGTCCCTGGAGGGGATCACTCAGCATCAAGGCTGCAGCAGCCATTGATGGGGCCCCTAGTGCCATCCAGATCAGGCACCTCGTACTCCTCATCCAGGAAGTCCAGCGAGTTGTTGCTTGGGAGGCCGCGGATGGTGAACTTGTGGGACACCTTGGTCCAGTGCTCACGGTTGGAGGCCACACGCTCATACAGCTCTGCTGCTTTGGGGAACAGGTCCTGCAAAAGCCTGTGGGTGTACAGGGGCAGGACGACAGGTAGAAATCAGACCATGGGCAGCAAGAAAGAAGAGGGCTACACAACACAGAACTTCCACAAGGGCCAGCACGATGGCTCACACCTGTAATACCAGCACTTTGGAGGCCAAGGCGGGCAGGTCATCTGAAGTCAGGAGTCCAAGACCAGCCTGACCAACATGGTGAAACCTCATTTCTACCAAAAATACAAAATTGGCTGGGCACAGTGGCTCACGCCTGTAATCCCAGCACTTTGGGAAGCTGAGGCGGGTGGATCACGAGGTCAAGAGATCAAGACCATCCTGACCAACATGGTGAAACCCCATCTCTACTAAAAAATACAAAAATTAGCTGGGTGTGGTGGTGCGCACTTGTAGTCCCAGCTACTCAGGAGGCTGAGGCAGAAGGATCACTTGAACTGGGAGGCGGAGCTTGCAGTGAGCTGAGATTGCACCACTGCACTCCAGCCTGGTGTCAGAGCGAGACTCCATCTCAAAAAACAAAACAAACAAAACAAAATTATCCCAGCTGGTGGAAAGTTGTAATCCCAACTACTCAGGAGGCTGAGATAGGAGAATCGCTTGAACCTAGGAGGCAGAGGTTGCAGTGAGCCAAGATCATGCCATTGCACTCCAGCCTGGGCAATAGAGTGAGACTCCACCTCCAAATAAAAAAGCTTCCACAAGAGTGTGAGGCACAGGACTGGACACCCAGGAAAGCATGACAGTCTTTTTTCACTAGGGACCAAGGACGAAGTGAGGGGCCCATTGAGGGGTACAGCAGCTGGCAGTTGTGCCCAGAGGCAGGGGGGTGAATTAGTTGGAGCTGGGCCAGGCCAACCTCAGCACCTGTGTTTGCTGTGATGTCCCCGCTCCAGCCCATCCTCTCTGTGTACGGTGCCAGCTTGTCCCTGTGAGCTCACTCACTTGTAGATGGGCATTGCAATGTGTTCCATGAAGCTGATTTGCAACTCGGGGATATAGGCCTTCTCCCGGTCCATCATCTCCATCGGCCTGTTGCCCATGGCCTTCTCCTGCAGGCATCAAGTTGTCAGGCCTGTCCCTCTCATTCCTCCATCAGGTACTAGGTTCAGGCTAACCCAAGCCCTCCCAGCCCCAGGCCAGGAACCCTCCCCCAACCTAGACATCCTGGGGTGACTCCACACATACCAGGTCTCCCTGGGAGAAGAATTCTTTGTAGATCAGCTCCTGAAAGGCCAACACACTCATCACATCCTGCACCCAAGCTCCTCTGACAGCCCATTCCCAGGAGAGAAACGGAGGCCCAGTGATTCAGTCCCAGGTCAGGAGCTGTCCCCACCAGCCCCAGCCAGGCAGGAAGGAGCGGCTGGGTTGGGGCCCGTCTTCCACCAGCCACTGACTTGTTAGGTCTGTTCCCCTCTCTGAGTCTCCATTTGTCACCCTGAGATGGTCTAGGTTTCTGTCTCCCCAGAACACAGCCAGGCTGAGCTGAGCAAAGAGAAGGTGTTCAGGCTGCAGGAGGCACCCAGAAACAGGCAGGGTGGGCAGCCTGTGCCTTCCCAGGGAGGACAGCACCTACCGCGATCTTTCTCGTGGTCTTCCAGCCCTTGGTCTGGTCAGAGAGGTCACAGGAGGTCATGAGGAGGCAGAGGAGGAGTCTGTGGTGCTGCTTGTTGTTTCGGTCATAGCCCACTGTTGGGGGGAGGGTGGGGTCAAGGAGTGAACTGGGGAACTCCTTGACCTTCTGAGGACAAGTCTCCCAGGGCCCACCCCAGAGTGGTCCAAGGAATTGAGCACTCCTGATGGGAGCCAAGGGTCCAGTGCTGGGTCTTCCTGGTGGGGCCGTGCAGCCAGAAAGGGTTACTGCTGCAGGGGATGGGTTTGTACCCCTGGGAATGTTCCCCTGGCAAATCCTCCCCCTGGTTGTTCCTCCCTAGCCCCAAGGCCTGGAGCTAATGGCAGTCACCCTCAGCCATCTTCTGGAGGTCCTTAAAGATGCGGAGATGGTGGGCTAAGTCCGTGGCCAAGATGATGTCCCGCATCAAATCCAGCATTCGCTGATAGTCCTGGGTAGAGGGCAGGGGCATCATGGCCTCCTGCTGGACACCCCCACCCATTTGCCCATCCCAGTGAGCCTCCACTCCTCCCACCTCCAGCCAGCTCCCAGCTTCCCCTTATTCCCCACCCCCACCCTCAACCCCATCACCTTCCGGGAGAAATGATCAAAGATGTTGCAGCCATGGGTGTTGAGGATGGCGATGGCCTGAGCAAAGTGGTGCCTCTGTGGGGAGAAGAGTGATGGGGCCCGGCTAGGGCAGAGGGGCTCCCCTCACCACTGACCCCAAGAAAGGAAGCAGGGCCTGGTCCAGCTCCAGCCCCGAGGTCAGCAGAGCAGGCAGAAAGAGGGAGTCAGGGGCCCCAGCTCCCTTCCTGAGCTCTGTTTCAGCCCTCTCTCTGACCCAGGGCAAGTCCCTAGACCACTCTGAGCCTCAGACTCCTCAGCTGTCACATGCACAGACCCAGCAAGGTAAGCTCTGGGGTCCTCGAAAGCTGGAACATTTTTGAAATGATCCCGTGGAGTCCTAGAC